CTTCAGTCATATTTTCTTTCTTTCTCTTTGTCTATATGTTTGTTTGTCTGACCCTTTTTCTTTCTGTAGTAAATAAAGATATTTCTGTTTATTCAATCATTCTTTCACTCATTTATTTCACACGCTTCCTTCTTTCATTCCTTCTTTTCTTCCTACCTTTCTTTCTTTCTTTCTTTTTTTCTTCCTTTCTTTCTTTCTTATTTATTTATTTATTTATATTTCTGCAATATTTAAAATAAAATACTGTATATTCAATCGTTTTTTCAGTTTTGTATTTTTTCTAAATTTCTCTTTTTCTTTCTTTATATTTTTGTAAAAGACATGTTAAACTTTGTAATTATTTATTTTAATATTTTCCTTTTCTATTTTCTTTTCTTTTTCTTTCTTTTTTTTGACAAAGATTCTTTTGTCAATTTTATTTGTTCGTATGTTCTCTAGATATTTCTTCAGGCTTCCTTTTTTATGAGTTTCATTCTCATTTAATCATTACTCAGTCATTTTTATTTCTTTTAATCATTTTCCATTGATTTTTCTTTCTTTTAACCTTATTCAATCATTCTTCTTTCTTTTAATCATTATTCATTTATTTATTCTCATTTAATCATTACTCAGTTATTTTTCTTTCTTTTAATCATTATTAATTCATTTTTATTTCTTTTAATCATTTTCCATTGATTTTTCTTTCTTTTAATCATCATTCATTCATTTACTTTCATTTAATCATTATTCAATCATTTTTCTTCCTTTGAATCCTTACTCAGTCATTTCTAAATACTCATTACTTTTATTTAATGTTTCTTTTCCACTTTTATTCTTTGATGCTATTTTCTATTTCCTTGCGAATAAACGAATACACATTCTATTCTTCTTTTTACACACTCTTCTGCACTTAGACGCTCACAACTGAACGACCTCTATGACCGCGACTTTTAATCGCTCTCAGAACACAGGGCTTCAGTAAAGCGTGTTCTACTTAAAACGGTAGGAATTCACTTTTTTTTCCAGCGGTCTGCCTCTGCGTCAACTTGTGTCTGGCAAACCAGTTCACGCACAGAGTAAATTCAGGTGGCTCTCTATACTGATTGGTTGGAACAAAAGTTCATGGCATTCTTCAATAGGTGGCGTTTTTAGCACGTTATTCTGTTTTCAATGTGACTGTATTTATGACATATATACAGGGTGCGGTGGGTAAATTGTCGCCATTTTATATTTTTCATTTCGTGCATGCGCGTTCTTTGTTTTTGATTTTGTCGACTGATTTTTTAAACATCTGTGAGAAATTTGGAAACGGCCTGCTGTATTGCTTGGCATTTGCATCGGAATCTCCAATAAGAACATTTCAGAGTATTTGGATGTCAATTTGAGGACAGTGCAGAGGATTCGGAAAGGGTTGGATGAATATAATAGTGATTTCGAATGTGTTTGGATTGATCACTAATGATGGCGATGTTATGCTTCCATTCATCACCTCACAAGACCTCAGACACAACACAGAGGCCTACAGTGCTTTGAAGAGGTAGTGCTGCCCTGAGTCAAGAGGGTGACTGCTGGGAGAACCTATATCTGGCAACAGCGCTTTGCATCATGACACACAATGAGGAGAAACCCGTCATGGCTGTAAGACAATTTCTGCGCCCACATCACTCCTTACATCTGGTAAATCTCAGTCGCCCCAGACTGCCACGCCCTTGTTTATTATGTTTGGGGCGCAGTTGAGCGAGAGACCAGCAAAGCTCCTCGTAACACCAAAGATGAACTGAAGGAAAGGATTGCGTCATCATTCAGCAACTTAAAGAAGAAAAACCGTCCAAAAGAGTTGCAGGAGATTCCGAAGTCGTCTGGTAGCCGTGGTTGAAGCCAATAGCGATTTTATTGAATAAATTTATTCTTTAATATTTCAAGATATTTTTGTGCAGTTTTGGTAAATATGTCTGTTAAAGTGAGATGTCAGTATTATTTTCTTTTTAGCGTAATTTAAACGACAATTTATCCATCGCACCGTGTATATATTCTGAAAGCTGTCATTTCAACGCTTCTTTCTATGCTATTTGTGTATGGAGTTCTGGATGTTTTTTTTTTATGTTAAGAGTGAAACTGGAAAAATAATGCGCATTTTCCTTATTTGATAATCTGTTATGTTCGGAAAAGAAAAAAAAAAGCCGTGTGCCATTTATAGAGTTGGTGCTGTAGCTGAGATTACGGTTCATAAGTGTTTCGCAAAGTTCAGAAGTAGAAATTTTAATTTGAAAGACCGAGATTATTCCTACGGCCAAGCAGTGGGTTGATGGTGTCTATAACGGAAAGCTGATTAAAAATAATCCCGGGATATCTTATGTTTCGTGTTAGCGTTGTAAGGTGTTTGGAAACACTTGGATGCGGGAATCGCGTCCCACACGATTTGATGTAACAATATTTTAATGAACCGCATTTCCGTCTGTGATTTTCAGTTCAAATTCACTGCAAACGGAAAAACTTTTGTAAAGAGCAATCACCGATGATGAAAAGGGAATTTCGTACAATAATGTCGAGAAAAGAAAGGTCATTGTAAAAATGAAACGTGTCCGATTTAATCACATTAACGAAGGTGGTGATATGTATCTGATGGAATTGGAAAGGCATTGTTTTCTTTTTTTTCTTTTTTAAATCCTTCCAGAAAACATTGAGTATAAATATTACCAGTTTGTGACTGGTAGGGATAATTCCAAGGAAGATATTAATCAAGGGAAAGCTCAATGTAGACTACAGAGAATAATAATAATAATAATAATAATAATAATAATAATAATATTCACGGAACCTCAAATATTTATTTTGGTTAAATTCCTGAATATCGAAATATTCAACTCTTCAGACCAAAATCTCTTAGTAAATGGAGACAATACACCGGACAGATATATTAAATTGACAGGTGTAACTAGATGAAATTATATATATATATATATATATATATATATATATATATATATATATATATATATATATATATGTAGTAAGGTAATGAAGAGTTTGGTAATCTGTGTACATAATTCCAAAGTGGATGTACTCCAGAGAGCTCAATGTAACAAAAGAGCAAATATTAATTAAATAATTAAGAAAGAGACAACCTCTAAGGTTCCATGATTATAATTTATTTCCCCCCAAAATATACATCTACTGGGGAAATAAATTATCGTCATTGAACCTTAAGATTGTCTCTTTTTTAATTATTTAATTAATTTATATAAGGCATTTTTTATGTTTATACGTTCTTCTTATACATACACATATTTAAGTAAATGTTCTGTTCATAATAAACAGTATTAATAACATCTACCGGCCTGAATGTCCGAGAAATTTTCATAGAAAATGTGCGTCCTCCGACAGGAATCGAACATGTAAAGAATATTTTATGTGTGTAGCTTCTCTGTTTCCAGGGTCCTTCAGTTATTTCTATGTATATTTTATTCTTCATTTGATGTTTATACAGTTGCTTGGTATATTTATTTTATGTTAAAACAAATAATGTCAAATGTTTTCATGGCTATGTCAATCAAATAGATATTGAAACACACCTAAAAGAAGATGTCTTGCTCAATGTACGAAAAGATACATGTCAGCCATACAGAAAACCCAACTGGAAGGCAATTTACATACACACAGCTTTCAACCACCCATCATTAATAATCAAGTAAATCCCAGAATCAATTAACAGTTCTTCCAAATAAACCATCTTTAGCAAAGCTAAAATAAATTATTAAACAATTCTAAATGATACTTGATTTTCGACAACACTCACATACATACAACACAGGGTAAAAAAAAATCCAGCAGAAAAAGAAACATCATATGGTTTACAAAATTAAAGCAAACGTAGGAAATATATTTATTAAACTTATTCAGAAACACTTCCCTCCGAAATGTACTCTCCACAAGATGTATAACAAAGACACAGTAAAAATCATCTACAGTTGCACCGAGAATATGGCACAAATGATAATAACTGTTGTTATATTTGGGCGGGAGCTGCCCATTCCTTACTTTCCAGTCACGATAAAATTCAAAAGCGTCCTTTTGGGTGAAGAATTATCTCCAACCCTCCTAACTCTCTCTCATAGGCGGAATGTAGCAAGCCTCATCGCTACTAACATGGAAACGTGCTCAGACGGACTACATTCCTTGGTACCGCCAGGCTTAATCTTCATGGTTAGGACCCACCATGCAACTTATATTGTCGCAAACCACCCACATTCTCTACATATTACATCCGTGAGTGGTAAGTTCCACTCGAACGGCTTCTTCCCGCGAACCACTGCTCTATAGAACCAACTTCTAAGAGGATGTTTCCCCGATCACGACAAAGTTAACCTGTTCAAGTCAATGGTTAACCTTTATCACCACTCTCCTATCCAAATTAAAATAAAAGATCCGATAGCAAACTGGAATTTTTTTTTTAAATAAGCAAAACCTTACAACAATCATAGAAACATCTGCAACCTTTGTTAATAAGAAGAATTAGCTATCATAACATTTCCAGACCAAAAATAATCTTTTAAACCAGAGAACGGAATTTATGACCTGTTATATACATACTAAAAAGTTCCTTTTGAGTTTATTTGAAGTGGGATAAAAAGAACGTATGTATATTTCGTTTAATACCCAACCGATATATTTCCAATACACATGATTTCCCCCTCATCCTCCACACCTTCTACCACACCTTACGTCGTGTGCTTATTCATTCATTTTTTTTAAAAATATGGCGTTCATATTTTTTAAAAAATAAAGCATTAGGAAATCAACTGACCGAAATTCCTTGAAGATACCGAAATGATGTTCTAATTTTTTATACTTTAAATTCTACATGTTAAATTTTTAACTTCTTTTATTTTATTTAAAATAACATTATCGTCACCATTCCCATCACTACCAAAAACCAAGTGTCACCATACATACAGTAACCAGAGAATTACTGCAACCTCTACTATCAGTGTTATTTTTATTAATAATACACATGTTTTATTATGCACGTACACATATCTATCTATCTATCACTGTTTGTTTTATCTATCTATCTATCTATCTATCTATCTATCTATCTATCACAGTCTGTTCAATCTATCTATCTATCTATCTATCTATCTATCACGGTCTATTCAATATATCTATCTGTTCATCACAGTTCTGTCTATCACAGTCTTTTCAATCTATCTATCTATCTATCTATCTATCTATCTATCTATCTATCACAGTCTGTTCAAGCTATCTCTTCATCACATTTCAGTCTATCACAGTCTGTTCAATCTATCTATCTATCTATCTATCACGGTCTATTCAATCTATCTATTCATCACAGTTCAGTCTATCACAGTCTTTTCAATCTATCTATCTATCTATCTATCTATCTATCTATCTATCTCAATCTGTTCAATACCCATCTGTATCCAAATCTACCTACCTACCTACCTACCTACCTACCTATCTACCTACCTGCCTATCTACCTACTTATCTATCTATCTAGCTAGCGATGCCTGTCTATGCATGCGTGTGTGTTGATACTGAAAATTTCAAGAATTTGACCATGACAAAAACTACTTAAACTATCACTTTGTTTTCTCAGTCTCCTTCCATCTATTCCCTCACCGACTGTTGGCACTCTAGGTTAATTAAAGTACGATCCACCAAGACTAATTTTTAAAACAGGTAGCGGTAAAAGTCCGTAATACATTGACCGATCGCCCAGTTAACATTCCACGAACAATTGTGCATCACCTCATATATGAAAACATTAAGGTTTCCGCTACATTTGGTTAACACTTTTCTTAGTCATCTTTCTACCTGACAAAATGTTACAAATATAAGTTATTTACACACAAAGAATGAACTCGTCATATTTTTAAAATCACTACAAAATTGTATAGATATATCCATCAAAAGAAACCGTTAACATAACGTGAGCCATTTTTGAATTGTTCAACCAGAAAACAATTTCAATAAAATGAATAGCTGACGCGTCTTCAGGGTAAAAAAAGGTAAAATAATGTTCGAGTGTTAGCATCAAATCCTTTCTAATCATTAAGCAAAGATCTTCTCTATTTGAAGATAAGTATTACCAGGACTGTTTGGTTTCTTTTACGAAATATGTTTTTACTCGTGTTAATATTGAAATTAAACATTAGGACTTGAGTCAAGTTTCAAAACATAGTAATTACTCTGTCGCGACGGAATCATAGTTTTTAAAAAAATTATTATGATACATATATATATATATATATATGTATATGTGTGTGTGTGTGTGTGTGTGTGTGTGTGTGTGTGTATATATATATATATATATATATATGAAGAAATATAGTTTTAATGTGTGGTATATTTATGGGATAAAGTGCTCAATATCAGAGATAGAGCTTATATAAATATAAATATAAAAGTGAACACTGAAGTCAACACTCAGTGGCGACAGGCTGCTTCATGCTGGACGCAATCGTCAGGCTGCTTGATATATATATATATATATATATATATATATATATATATATATAAAAGTGAACATTGAAGTCAATACTCAGAGACGACTAGCTGTTCTGTCTCATGCTGGACGCAATATAGCCGAGCAAATATCCAGCATTCGCGGCCTGACGATTGCGTCCAGCATGAAACAGTCAGTTGTCTCTGAGTGTTGACTTCAATGTTCACTTTTATATATATATATATATGGCTGGTTGTTTCATGCTGGACGCAATCGTCAGGCCGCAAATGCTGGATATTTGCTCGGCTATATTGCGTCCAACTAAAATCCAATATATATATATATATATATATATATATATATATATATATATATATATATAGTTGGATTGATGTGTTTGTGACCCTGGGTTTTACGCTATTTGCATTCATCAGGCAAACTGATTAATTTTTAAATTTTGAATTTATATTTTTATGGAAGTGGGAGGAAAAATTGTCGTCCGAACCCCACTCATACTTATATATATATATATATATATATATATATATATGAATTAAATAAAGAGAAATGAGCAACTATACATGCATGCCATTACGTTCAAATACAGATTTACAAATAAATATTTATTTAATTTTTGGTGTAATCAAAACAGTGCTAAATATAGTGGAACAGTATATATTAATAACTACACATATTATCTACACTCCAATTTGTAATTTGCATGTTGGGATGTTTGGTCCTTTCTTCTTGCCTTCCTTTACTATCTTTTGTAGCAGGTCTTATCGATTCTTTTCACTGTCTACAATCAACACTGTGTTATCTGCATATCTTATGTTGTTAAGATTGTGGTGGCCAATAATGAATCATGATAGGACTTATAATTTTCTCAGAGGCGCCACACTGTATAGCTCTAATAAGTCCGGTGAGAAGACCCATCCTTGTCTTACACCCCTTTCTATGTTTGTATATTTACTAAACTCATTTTGTGTTATATGCAGGCGGTTTGCTGCCAGTATGGGTTCTGGATTATTCTAATCTCCTTCCCAAATATGTCAAGTTTACCTAGAAGTTCCAACAGTTCTTTGTGATATATTTTATCAAACGTTTTTGCTTTATCCATAAAATATAGGTATAGATGCTTCTGCATTTGTTGTTACACTTTCTGATATATTTTTTTTTCCAAAAGGGGTGATAGGAGACACAGTGGAATCGACGTGGTGGCCAAAGTATTTGCAGTGCTTCTCCTGCGAAGATTTCAAGGCATCCGTGATCTGCGAACTCGCCCGTCTCAGGGTGGCTTCCGCCCAGGCAGAGGCTGTGTTGATCAGATCTTCAGCCTGCGGCGCACCCTCGAACTACGCTGGGCATACCAGCAACCAACAATCCTTTGCTTCGTCGAATTTGCGGCTGCTTTCGACTCCGCTGATAGAGGCTCACTCTGGCGTATCATGGAGGCCGATGGCATGTCCGCTAAACTTCGTCTCTTCAATGGCTACTACCGGTCGACGCGAGCCCGTGTTCGTGCTTATGGTGAGGAGTCGGAGACGTTTGAGGTGAGGACTTGTGTGTGGCATGGGTGTGCCCTATCCCCTACCCTATTCAACTATACAATCGACTACATCCTCGGCAAGGCCCTTCGGGACTACGCTGGAGTTGCGGTTGGTCAGGGTGTCTGATCTGGCCGACGCGGACGACATTGTCTTGGTCAGATCGAATTGGGCCGATGTGCAAGCTGCAGCACGGGAAGTGGGTATGACTGTCAATGCCTCGAAGACCAAAGTTATGCTGTCCCTGGTTGATCCAGTCAACTGGCAGCCACTGACGCTGGACGGAGTCAATTTTGGAGGACGTGCAGTCTTTCGTCAATCTCGGTTCAACCATTATACCATCCGGGCAGGCTGCTGCTGAGGTTGAACGCCGTATAGGAGCTGCAAGGTCCGCATTCGTGCCTCTGAAGCGGTCACTATGGGGGCGACGGGAGATTTCCACGGCTACGAAGGGGCGCATCTATCAGGCTATTGTTCGGACTATCCTTCATAGAGAAGGATAGTCCGAACAATAGCCTGATAGATGCGAAACGTGGCCACTTAGAGCGGTTGACCTACGAAGGCTTGAAGTGTTCGACAACGATTGCCTTCGTTGCATTCTACGATGCCGCCGAATCGATCGTGTGCCCACAGCTACTCTACGTCGTCGCCTGAGTCTCTGTCCTCTTTCACCCGTCCTGCTCCAGCGTCGGCTCCGATGGTTCAGGAACGCAAGGAGAGCTAATCCGCGATGTACTTCTCCCTCCTTCTATTCCTGGCTGGCGAAAACGTGTCGATGGGCAGCTGAGGACGTGGGCTAGCACAATCAAGGATGACCTAGCAGTACTATCGGGTCCACAAGTAGTTGGTCTTTCGACGATGGAATCGCGATTGGCTCGCCATTTCGTGTGACTTGGCTCAGGATCAGCGAGCGTGGGCAGCGATGGTCCGTGATGCTGTACTTGCTCGGGATGAAGCCGGTTCAACCTGACCAGGGTGAAAACCGATACAAGTCAAGTCAAAATTTTCTGATATAATTTTGTGCATAAATATAGCATTCCTTATTCCAGTGTCTTTAACGAAACCACACTGTTTATGTCCTATTTTCGGTTTAATTTTGTTAAATGCGTCCTATTCATCAGGATTCGAATAAGTTTCGTTACATATTGCAAAGTGAGGACTAGCTGTCTACTAGTTTTGTCTTATGTAGTGAGTTCGATTCTCACTGGATGTGCCACTATAGTGTCCATGAAAAACTTTAAGCAACGCTAATTAAATAACAAATAAAACAAAGATCTAATTAAATATTAAAGTCAGTCAAGACCGTGCATAGTAAATTTGGTTCATTGTGTCGTGCTAGACAATTTTTGCTTTATCTATAAAATATAGGTATACATACTTTTGGGTTTGTATTACACTTTTTGATACCATTTTGTGCATAAATATCGCATTTCTTGTTCCAGTGTATTTAACGAAACCATCTTGTTGTCCTATTTCCAGCCTAATTCTAAAGCGCGCACTATAAATCAGAATTCAAATGACAAGTTTTGTTATATAACTCATTAGGTTGAATGCCCGATGGTGTTTACATTCATTTACCCCTGATTACTTAGGCAGTGCCATGAAAATAGATCTACTTATGTATTCCGGTATGTCATCATTTTCGCATATTTCATTTATTTATTATTTTTTTTAGAGACATAATTACATAAAAATTAAATTCCGCTAGCCTTGTGATTATCTGTCTCTCTCTGTCTGTGTGTCTCTATATTTAAATTAAGGCCGTATAGTGCAGGTTTAAATTAAGTGGAATACAGGACTAGCCATAAGTGAGCAGCATGAAAAAAGAGCAAGGCGAGATATCCCCAGACATGCAAATCGCGAACAATCTATCAGCGTATCTTAAAAAAAAAAAAAAAAAAAAGATTTATTTCGAAATTCTCAAAATGATACCCGGATTGAGAGGTACCTGAAGAAGACCGGAGAATAAAACAGACGGAATATTGTGATAATAACAACAAAGATGAGGATATTATAGAAGATATTAAATATTTTAACATTCTCTTGCATATAGTTTTAGTTTTTGTTTTAACATATATATGGTTGGTTGATATCCTAGAGTTGGAGATTCATTGTGGAATTCACTTGACTCTAGCAGTTGACTACTTCTACGCGCCGTTGTCGAATCTTATATATGTTTTTCTTGTCCTAAGTATTATCATTCATTACCAACCTTCGTTTGATTATTCTATTCAGTAACCTTTACGAAAAAAAAAAATAACCTTAACTTTCAGTTAGACTAAATTATATTTATGGGCGGTCTTAAAATTGAAATTCAAAAAAAAAAAATTCCTTGCATTTGTCATAACGAAGTCTATCAGAGGACGAGAAGATAAGTTTTCATTTTGTTTTTATTCACAAACACACACACACACACACACACACACACACACACACACACACACACACATATATATATATATATATATATATACATACACACACACACACACACATATATATATATATATATATATATGTACTTGCATAATAAATACTAATCAGGATATCACGTGTTATACTAACTGCTGGTTTATTTAATAATGCTCCGTATTCATCAACGCGAAATAATGTTAGTGTAAATGTGGTGTTTGATTCTTTGAAAGTAATTACGAAGCTTTCAAGTTTCTACTTCGCTATAAAGTATGTCAGTCTGCACTTACGTTCCAGAGTGAATGTCACTGTAACACTGAGGGTAGAATAGTTGAAGTAGCAAGGTGTTCATTTACGTCTTAGGCTTAGATAGGCGCAACGAGAAAATTTTGTCTGGCATTATTCCATACTGGACACCATCTTAGTTAATACAGTCGTTGTAAAATATTAATTATTCAAACATTTCACACATCCATCCACACATACATAAGCAATTTTCTTTGAATAATAAAATGTATTTAACGCTAAGTTGAAATGATGATCCCTCTTGCTGTTGTGAACTCCTGATCTAGCTTGCGTCTCTACAGTTCCTACTTTTTTAAAAAATTAGTTACTGTTCTCTTGATGGTTCTTGAATGGACTTTGAAGATGGAAACCAGATTATGAATATTGGTACCATGACTGACGGCTTGACTGATAATCTTCCTCTCACCATTGCTCAGTTGGGAAGACATAGTTGGGCTGACACAAAATTATTTTAACCTATTCTCAGAGGGTACTTCAGTTATTCTTACAGCAAATGGTGTCAAGATGCCTAAACGTCTTATCTGAAAACCCGGAAAAAAGAAACTCAAGTAGTTTAGTATTTTTTTTAGATATTAAAACTTTTGTGGGATAGACAATTATCCCATGCTGTTACACGATTTGGACAATTTTACTGTTACACCCGGTATATATACATACATATGTATACATACATATATATATATATATATATATATATATATATATATATATATATATATATATATATGAGAGAAATTGATCCGTGAATTTGAAAGAATTAAAATAAAAAGAAATAGACTTAATATGCTTAAATTATTCCACTAAACATGCCTGAATGAAGATATGCTGTCTAAATATACATTTATGCAAGTATATATGTATGTATAGACACATACACAGACATCTATATACACACTTATATAAAACATAGGTGTAATGGTTAGCAAGCTTGTCTCGCTAGATCAGTTACGACTGAAAAGTGAGTTCGATCCTCACTAGGTGTCCCATACTTTCGGCCTTGTGCCACATCTAAGCTGCTCTTAGAAAATAACTATATAAAACAGGTTTTTTTCTTTGGCATCTACGAAACAGTTGTCCTAATCCTTCTTTTATATTCCTCTGAAACGTGGACCACCTATCCAAGGCACATTAAGGTCGTAGGGCGTTTTCACCAGCAGTTCCTGAGGCAAATCTTAGACATCAGTTAGCAGTCTTGTACACCAGACACAAAAGTCCTTCAGCGCGCAAACATAGCCAACAGGGAAACTGCATCTCTGTAATCAAATGCGATACTCAGGTCATCTGGCACGTATGGAGGATGACAGATTGCCTAACGAACATTTTATGGTTGTCTAGTACAAGGTAACTGACCCGTTCTTAAGCCCCCAAACTTTTCGAGGATTTAGTTAAATATAACCTTCTTGGCGTTAATGTTGATGACTGTGAAGAATTCTTAAAAGTCTTGTTTTATTGTCCAGTGATGTGTAGACGCAGATTGTTTCGACTTTCGGTATGTAGCAGTCACTTCTAAATTTGCATGATGGTCACTCTGTTGTTGTTCCATTCTACATAGTACTCGCTCGATACACCATCTTTGAGTCCTCGAAGCTTCGTATATCAAATTCTACCAGCCAAGCCTATGCAAACAAAAAGAGCATTTCATACGTTCATTACAGTTGATTGAAGGTCAAAATTTGACTGTCTCCCTGCAAGAACAACCGAATGGACATCAGGCAAATTTAGACGTGACTGATACACACCGAAAGTTGAAAGAACTTGCATCTACACAGACTTTTAATATTTCTTCACAGTTGAAAAACAATCTGTAAATATATATATATATATATATATATATATATATATATATATATATATATATATATATATATGTAAGCAAATATATGGATATAGATCCGACAGTATGAAGAAAAATATACGGAAAAAAACAAACAAAAAAATCCTAATATGCAATTATGCTGTTTTAATGTTAATATAATGTCAACGTCGGACGTTTCGGTCTAATAGACCATCTTCAGGACATATTCATAAAAACATAATTAATATAGACCATATTCAATTCAACATGAAAAGACGATGGACATAAGAGCAAGACCAATCCAAACAGATAACTGAAATCTTTTATAAGATCAGCGTTCCGTTTAAATATGATCACGTCGTCGTCACGTGGGCGATATTGTGAAAACGTATTCCTAAATTTTGAGTATTTTGAATGAAAAACGAAAAGAATTTTATTTTGATCTAAAACTTATATGTACGTTTGTCGAGCATTAATCTTGCTAGAAAAGGGGAAATATTAAAGAAGCCAGGTCTAGTGTTCACCGTGCCTGAGATAGATATTATGCCTGCTTCATAAATCCGCCTAAGATTTTTTTTATGAAAATATTTTAAAATCTTCACAAAATATTAGGATA